TTCACACCCAAACAACTATCTTTCAGCTTCTGTAAACAGCTGTCGAGATACAGTATGAACAGCCAGGAAGACATGACACAACCCTGCTTTACGCCCGTTTGGACGTTAAACATGGGTGACAGGTCATGCCCTACCCGCACACAGGCTTTACATTCACAGTAAAGAGACTGCACAGCCCTTAGCAATCGACCATCCACACCATACCCCGGCAACAGTTCCCACATTTTCTTCCTTACAACCTTATCAAATGCTTTCTCAAGATCCACAAAAGCACAGAAAATCTTCTGGTTAGTAGCCAGAAGCTTCTCCGTGATCATGCGGAGAGAAAACATTTGATCCGTGCATCCTCTTCCAGGTCTAAATCCGCATTGTGCCTCCCATAGAAATCTTTCCGATTTCTCTTGCATCCTACGTGTCAAAACCTTCGAGTAAACTTTACTTGCTAAACTGGTCAAGCTGATCGCCCGATAGCACCCGCAGTCAAAATGTGAACCTTTACCTTTATATAAAGGCACAATGACTGCGGATCGCCAATCATCCGGGACATCCCCCGTCCGCCAGCACAAATTGCACAGCAGATGAAAGCTGTCCCAGACGCGAGGCCCACCATACTTGACCATTTCAGCAGTAACTCTGTCTAGTCCCGCAGCCTTACCACATTTCAAACTTCGAATCACACGTTCAATCTCTTTCATCCTGATGACCTCAGTGTCATCGAGGTCCGGGTCTGGCGTACCAGTCACGGCGTCATCCCCGGATCCCTCACTAAGATCATCACACGCATACATTTCTCTATAAAATTCGCTCCATCGCTGCATGACGTCCGATTTTTCTGAGAGGACGTCATTAGTTCTCGAAAGCACTTTGTTCATTCTTAAGGCCGTCGCACCACTTCGGGTCCTTCCAACCTCTTTCCAGAAGAGTTTGGAGCTTTGGAGTTCTCCTTGAAGTTGTGCGACAACCTTTCGTCCGCTTCCATTCTACACCTTTCACGCACTTCCTCAATCAGTGCTTTCGTGTGAACTTTCTGCAGCCTATATCTTTCTTTCATCTTCTCTCTCATATCCTTATCATTACTAGAGGCCAAGTAGTCTAACCATGCTTTCTTCTTCTTCTTTACAGCTTCTTTCACTTCATCATTCCACCATGCATCTCTTCTTTTACTACTGCCTCTTTTTATTGTTCCACACACTTCTTCCGCTGCACTTACCATTCCATCCCTAAGGTTCTGCCAAGTTCTTTCTACACATTCTTTTCTGCCATCGATGGTGTCAAGCTTTTCGGCTACCCTCGCATGATATTTGTCCCTAGTATCCGCTTCCTGAAGCTTCCAGCTTCGGATGCGACAGACCGACTGTGGTTCTGTTACTGCCGTCCGGTAGCGCCAACCCGCGAACAGACCCCTAAATCTAGTAATCACTAGATAGTGATCCGTTCCCAGGTCAGCACCCCTGAACACTCGCGTATCCATCACCTGTTTTCGCAGTAGGTCATCCACCAGGAACAAATCAATTATACTTCTCTCATTCTTTCGTTCTCTAGTATACATATGGATTTTCTTGTGATTAAACATAGTGTTTGTCACAAGAAGACCCTTTTCCTTGCACACCGCCAGTATAAGCTTGCCAGCATCATTAACCCTTTTATCGCCAAACTTTCCAAGTACCGACTCGTACCCTGGTCGAGCGGTACCAACCCATCCATTCAAATCACCACATACAACAATTCTTTCGTTTCCCCTAGCCAAATCTTAAAAAATTATGAAGGTAAATTATTATAATATTAGAGATAACTACGAACTACGATGTTACAGTTAACACACAAAATTAAAGAGATGCAACACTATGCAAATGGAGACTACACAAAAATACAAATAAATTGTGGTAATTAAACACTAAGTTAACGTGAAGACACTATCTCTTGCCTGCGGTGCCAGTACGTCGACTTTTGGAAGCTCCAGCTGGATCCCTGACCGCGGTACTTGTCTTCGACTTCGGCACAGAAGGCTCAACGATTTTATCAAGTTCGATCACCGAGCTAAGGCGATGTCAAACGCCACCGCTACCCAGTACAAAAACAAAGCCTTCACGTGTCCAGCAATTCGATATTCCATATTTCCGCCGAGCTGCCATAAAAGCTTCATGTCGAGTCTTAGTTAAAAACTCCGACAGAGTGATACCAGTCCCCTTCAAACACGTCTTAGCTTGCCAGATCTTGTTCTTCACCTCCAACTCACACAACTTAAACAAGATTGGTCTTGGTTTGTCAGAAGAAGAGGTATGGCCCATGCGATGGCAGCGAGATATATCTTTATCCGAGAAACCAGACAACCTGAAACGGTCAACAAAAGTCTTCACTAATACCTGTACAGTGTCCTCGTTCTTTTCCTCCGGAATCCCATGAAGTAATAGAATCTTCCGCCGGCTCCGCATCTCCATATTATCCACCTGGTGCATCAACAGGCCTACCTGGTCTTGAAGATTGCGTAGGGCTGTCATGATAAATAATCTGAATGAGGAGAACTCGGATGTCAAATTGGCAATGGAGGCTGATGGTGCTGCAGCATGAAGCTCACTTTGATAGATATCCATGCGCTGAGTAAACATCTTCTGGAGTTGTGTTATTGACTCTTGAATGGCATCCATTTTGGAAAAATCTTGTGTAGTGATAATGGAAGAAAATTGTGAGACTGATTTTTATTGACTAAGTTTGTAAACAGTAAGGATTTTACTGCCTGGCAGGTATAATGGTTAGTACATTAGTTTCCCATGTAGTAACAACACAATTGTAATGTTTTATATATTAAAAACTTTATTAAATTGGGAGACTTTACTAAAGCAATGTACTTATTGCACCTACCCACACACCTTTTTATTACTATTTCCGAGATTTTGTGGTGCCATTAAACAAATTCGAACCTACATTTCAAAATAATAATCATAACTTTCGATAGAATTAACCAATTTCAATAAAACAAAGATTAAATGAACTTGATAATACGCTTTATGATTTTCTTAAGGATTTCATTGAAAAAAAGATGTTTACTCAAAACGTCATGCGTCCATAAACAAACAGACAGACCGTCAGATAGTACAATTCTAAAAATTATAAAAATGTACTTATTTAATGATTTACAGACCCCATAATGATTTTAGTCACAAATTAATATACTATACAATATTCCGAAACAGACACAACATGTTATTACCATTTTTATTATATGTATAGATTTAAAGAGAGAGGGCGCTGTTAACATCAATTCTAAAAATAAGAGATTAATTGACACGATTGATACAATAAAAAACATAAAAAAACTTATAAATCAGTGCCTGCATAGCAAGCAAAAAAGAAAGTTTGATCTTCGCCGAAAAACGGAATTCTTAATAGCTCTTAAAATTTGATTTACCACATAGAGTACTCGGCGGTAAAAAAATAAAAAATTAATAAGATTGTCAACATGCAGTAGGGCTGCGTACTGCGTACTGCGCACTGCGGACAGCGTGTCGTTAATATAAAGGTTAGAAGCAAATATGAAACTCATCTACAGGAAAAAAATTTTACCTGCCTTTTTGTATCACATTTGTGCCACACCACCATCTATCGATGAAATTGGTTAACTATTGTACTTTAATTTAGTTTAGATAATAAGGTTAATATATTTTGTATATATTTATTACGTTCTTTATGTAATACTTTTGTTTACTGCGTTTTAGATATAATTATATCATTATAGAACATTATTTTACATCCTTTAATTATGATTTATAATATGATATTAATTTTAAAATGTACTTGATGACACGTCTAACGCCACTATTGAACAAATTCGTACCTATACTTAGTACCCATACTTCAGAATATTTGTCATAACTTTTGATGGAATTAACCAATTTTAATGAAATAAAGACTAAATGTAACCTGAATATACACTTAATAATTTCCTTAACTATTCTTATGATATAAATTAGTACTTTATAGGTGATACCTTAACAAACAAACAGACAGACAGACAGACAGAAAAATCTAAAAATGGTAGAAATGTATTTAATTACTTATTTTTAGTATCTCTCAATCACTTTTATTACAAAAATATAAAATGTACAAACATCTGCTATTTACATTTTTATTATATGTATAGATAACTAATCATAACTTCTAATAAGTTAACATATAAATAATTTAATATTTTATGGTCTTAAGATGAACATGGACAAAACAAAGATCATGTTTAATGTCCATGTCACACCTATGCCGGTAGTTGTTGGGAGCACTAAGCTCGAAGTTGTTGACGAGTATGTTTGGTATGTTTGACGATCTGGGACAAATAGTCCGACTAGGTAAATCCAACTTCGACCGAGAGGTCAATCGACGGATTCAACTCGGTTGGGCAGCGTTCGGGAAATTACGGCACATCTTCTCGTCAGGTATACATCAAAACTTGAAAACGAGACTGTACAACCAGTGCGTGTTGCCAGTGATGACATACGGAACTGAGACATGGTCCTTCACTGCTGGCCGGATGAGGAAGCTCAAGGTCGCTCAGCGAGCTATGAAGAGAGCTATGCTCGGAGTTTCTCTGGGTGATAAACTCAGAAATGAGGATATCCGCAGTAGAACCAGAGTGACCGACATAGCCCAACGGATTAGTAAGCTGAAGTGGCAATGGGCCGGCCATATAGCTCGAAGAACCGACAACCGATGGGGAAAAAAAGTTTCTCGAGTGGCAGCCTCGTACCGGCAGGCGAAGTGTTGGGCGTCCCCCCACTAGATGGAGTGACGACCTGGTGAGATGTGCAGGAAGTCGATGGATGCAGGTGGCTCAGGACCGTGCTTTGTGGCATTCCTTGGGGGAGGTCTATATTCAGCAGTGGACTTGTGAAGGGCTGTAATGATGATGATGATGATCTTCTTGAAAGTCAATAAAAATTATGTTTAGTAAAAAAACTAAAGATAAATAAAAGTGTAATCAGTACTTGTTGAAAAATAAAGGAGACAAACAATTATTGAATGCTATTGAGGAATAGAATTTGGTCAACTTTTTTAGGTGCTAGACGGTTTCTTCTATCATTGCACAAAATCCCGGTTTTTGAAAATAAGCACTCTGAAGGAACTGATGTTGCTGGGATACAAAGATATTTATGCGCAATTTTAAATAACACTGGATATAAACATTTCTTTTCGTTCCAAAACTGAAGTGGGTCGCATGTTCTGTCAAGATATGGCAATTCAATATATTGTTTAACCATCATGTCTGCCGAAGTGTATGGAGTTGACTCACCACTGCTCTCCATAATTTTCGTTAGTTTGATCTACAACTCCCCAAATTTCGTCTTTTCCAGAATCAATATCATGAGCAGCAAAAGCAATGGGAGTACTGGAACTATTTGAACTAGGAGGAGGTAGGTCTTCTTCACTGTTCATGTTTGTTATCTCATTTATAATCCACATTTGCGCATTATTAGCATTACTTTCTAATGAAAAATCTTTTTTTTAAACCGTGGATCAAGAAAGGTAGCTTTTGCAGCTGTCCTATTAGTTTCATACACCCCAAGTCGTTTTTCTATCACAGCAACAAGACTACGTTTTAAACACATGCCTAATTCCGTCACAGGCGTCTTGCTGTTAATGGCCCTTCGTAGTCCAAATACAAGAGGAATAACAGAAGGCAGGGTTGGGTATTGTTCTCCTGATAAAATTGTAGTCACCTTTTCGAAAGGACGTAAAATTGCCGTCACATCTTCTGTCAATAACCACTCATTAGACTCCAGATTTGGCGGAGGTGATTCTAGTAGCGGTAATGTAGCAGAAAGCGATACCTTAATTTTCAATAGACGCTCAAGCATATAGAAAGTACTGTTCCAGCGAGTACGAACATCTTGCTTGAGTTTTAATGTGTCAACTTTCAGTTGCTCTTGCATGTTAAGTAAGGCATAGGAAGATTTCGTGCTATATTTAAAATGCGAAACAATTGCTCGACATTTGGCTAAAAGTTGTAATAACTGACTGTTAGTGGCAACAGTAGCATTCTCATGCAAATCAAATGTTTCTTTCTCTATACAGTCTTTGACCGCGAGATTAAGTGTATGAGCAACACAAAAATGATTTCGCTTATTCAAACATTCACTTACTGCTTTTTTCGTTGTTGCAGCGTTATCTGTGACAATAGTTATTACTTTTGAACTTATTTGCCACTGGTCCATTACTTTCTGAATAGCAATCGCAATATTTTCAGCAGTGTGGTTCTCTTTTATTTCTGAAGTAGAAATAACTACTGATTTCAATTTTGTTTGTTCTATATAATGTGCTGTCACACTTATGAAGCTTTTGCTACTATCTGAAGACCAGATATCAGACGTCAACGCTAAATAGTAAATTTACTCCAATTCATTCTTCATAGATTTGTATTCAAACTTATTCTTTTCATCTATCATCAGTACTAATTTTTTTCTAGTAGGAAGTTCATAATCAGAATTTAATGCTTTTGTATATTGCTTAAAGCCATCAATCTCCACTATTTGGAAAGGTTGATAATCTTTAATGATCATATTAATCAAGGCACTGTCACCAAATTTTTGCGTAGTCTTCTTCGACACGGCCAGGTGGGTTTGAGTTTTCCTCAATTTTTTTTGAGGAAGCTCAACCTCCGATGTAGATGACTGCAACGGATCAAGCGAAATATTATTTTCATTCGCTGATGATGATGACTGCGTTAAAGTATTCAGTTCTTCTGCGCTATTTGATAATGATATGCAACGGCGACCACTAAGTTGCCACTTTAATGATTTTGTCACTAGTTTTAGTGAATTTTTGGAGATAGATAGTGATATTCTGAAAAAGAAAATCACTGAAAAATTATTTGATGACTTTTAGTGATATTTATCAAATCCTGAAGAAAATACATATTAGTAACCCTCTTTACCTGTCAGTAAATTCCCCAGTTTATGTCAAAATAGCACTATCCTTTTTTCACATTACAAAACCGTAATTAGACATCTTTGTTTGGTTATGCTAAGCCTACCTTGGACTTTTCCAGACTAATAATGAGGACCTAATACGTACGTAAAGTTGATTTCAGTGAGTGCTGAATACTAAAAGGTTGTTTGAATTTTTTTTTTTTTTTTTTTTATAGAATAGGGGGCAAACGAGCATGCGGCTCACCTGATGTTAAGTGACTACCGCCGCCCATGAACAACCGCAACACCAGGGGAATTGCAGATGCGTTGCCGGCCTTTTAGAAAGGTGTAAGCTCTTTTCTTGAAGGTTCCTAAGTCGTATCGGTTCGGAAAATTCGCTGGTGGTAATTGATTCCACAAAGAAGTTGTGCGAGGGAGAAAACTTCTTCTAAATCGCACAGTGGTGGACCGCCAATCATCCAGATGGTATGGATGGTAACGCGAGTTTTGTCGCGACGTGCGATGGTGAAATTGAGCGGCTGGAATTAGTCCGAACAATTCCTCAGAGCACTCCCCGTGATAGATGCGATAAAATACGCAAAGAGATGCAACATCTCTACGCAGTGCCAGTGTATCGAGCCGATCGGAAAGAACTCGGTCGTCGACGATTCGAATCGCTCTGCGCTGGATGCGGTCAAGTGGAAGGAGCTGGCACTGGGGTGCCCCGGCCCAGAGATGAGAACAGTATTCCATGTGAGGCCGAACTTGCGCTTTGTAAAGTTGCAAGCGATGTGCCGGCATGAAATACTGTCTCGCTCTGCTGAGCACGCCAAGCTTTTTAGAGGCCAATTTGGCCTTCCCTTCCAAGTGACCACGAAACTGCACGCTATTCGATATGTCGACGCCAAGGATTCCGATACTGGCTGAGGCAGCAAGGGGAGTGCCTTGAAACTGAGGAGATACGACAAAGGGGTTCTTTTTAGCGGTAAACGCGCAAACTTGTGTCTTCTGGGGATTGAACTGGACTAGATTTAGTCGGCCCCAATCCGAGACTTTGTTAAGCAAAGACTCGACTTCAGACACAAGTTTGTCCCGGTACTCGGCGACGTTTTCCCGAGAAATATTGGCACGGCCGGTATATAAGGCATCCCCAGTGCTGTCGTCTGCATAGCAATGAATGCTACCAGTTAGCAACATATCATTGATATGCAGGAGAAACAGCGTTGGTGATAGCACGCAGCCTTGTGGAACACCAGCGTTGATAGGCTTGTAATCAGAGCATGCACCGTCTACTACGACCTTAATGCTCCGATCAGCAAGGAAACTGGTGATCCATTTGCACAATTTCTCAGGAAGCCCATAGGAAGGAAGCTTCGAAAGAAGCGCCTTGTGCCAGACCCGATCGAAGGCCTTCGCTATGTCCAAACTAACGGCCAATGCCTCCCCCTTGGACTCTACTGCCTCCGCCCATCTATGAGTTAAGTAAACTAAAAGATCACCTGCTGATCGACCCCGACGAAAACCGTACTGACGGTCACTGATCAGCTGGTGATCCTCAAGGTACCTCATGAGCTGGCAGTTTATAATGGATTCCATTATTTTGGAGAACAAGGAGGTGATGGCGATAGGCCTGTAGTTGGACGGGTCTGAGCGGTCGCCTTTTTTAGGGATCGGGTGGACCAAAGCTGTCTTCCATGAATTCGGGACTACGCCTTGGGAGTAGGAGTACCGGAAAAGACGCGTTAAAACCGGTGCCAACTCCGGAGCACACGTCTTCAGCACAATGGGAGGGACTCCATCGGGCCCACTCGACTTGCTGACGTCCAGGGAGAAAAGTGCTTTGCGAACCGAGCGCTGTGTAAATCGCACATCCGGCATGGAGCACTCACATCGCGGGATGGTCGGCGGTGTGTTCCCCCCGTCATCTAGAGTCGAGTTGGACGCAAAAAGAGAGCACAACAGATCGGCTTTCTCTTTTGCGGCATGGGCCAGTGAGTCGTCCTCTCTGTGCAGAGATGGGAGGGATGGCTGACAGAAGTTCCCTTGGACAGCCTTGGCGAGAGACCAGAATGCACGGGTTCCCGAAGGAAGGCGAACTAGCTTCTCGCCAATTCTGCCGATGTGCTCAGACCTTGCCTTAGCAATGACGCTTTTGAAGGACCTGGAGGCGGAATTATACTTCTTTTTAAGTGCGCTGGTGTTTAAATCCCGAGACGTTGATGCGTCAGCCCAGGCCCGGTAGCACTCCTGCTTATAGCGTGATGCTATTTTACAGGAGCGACCAAACCATGGCTGGGATCTGCCTCCGATGGGCACCACAGAGGATGGAATAAAAAGTTCCATACCCTGAAGTACCACATCAGCAACAGAATCGGCAACAACGCTGGGATCTTCCGGCGAGAAGCAAACCCGCCCCCAAGGGTAGGATGCAAAAAAAGACCGCATCCCGTCCCAATCAGCTGACCTATAGTGCCAAACACGGCGGCAAGCTGTAGATCGCAACTGCGATTGGAGCGTGAGTGGCACTGTGCTCCGGATCAGACAATGGTCCGAAGAGCCCAGAGGGGCATCGACGGAGACCTGATATCCGTCCGGATGAGAGGTCAGCAGAAGGTCCAACAGGGAAGGTACATGGTCTTCCACATCTGGGATCCGCGTAGGCGAAGTAACCAGTTGTGTTAGACCATATGCCAAAGCAAAGTCGTAGACAGATCTACCCGCATGATCGGTTGAACGAGAACCAAGCCATTCAGCGTGGTGGGCGTTGAAATCACCGAGTATCACGATCTCTGCGGATGGGACCTGTTGTAGCACGGAGTCTGCAGCCATTTGGACGTGGTCGATGAGTCGGTCTGTGTCGGCATTACCGCTATGGGACCTATAGAGGCACCCGTAGACGCGGGGATGGTCGTCGCTGTCTACGCGCAGCCATAGGATGGACAGGTCCGTACCTTCAAGGCTGCCGAGGCGTCGAAAACAGATGTCCTCTCTGACGTATACACAAACTCCAGCCCGGGGCACAAAGGAGTGTTCCAATTTGTACCCCGGGTAGGAGAGATATGAAGTATCAGCCGGAGAGGACACCTGAGTCTCGGTTAAAAAGAGCAAGGCCGGCTTCGCCGTCTCTAGATGGTAATGGACAGCGTTAAGTTTGGAATGAAGTCCCCTGATGTTGCAAAAATTCACGGATAGCGTGACAGGGGTCGCCTTGGTTGTATTGCTCCGCTTGCCCCGAGCAGCATTAGTCACGAGCGGAATTTTGCCCCCCCCAGAATACGCGGGGCAGCCTGAGCACCCACGCTCAGGAGTGAAGTAGTTTGTTCGTGGATGCTCAGCGAGGGATTTTCCAGGGTTGCTGGTACCCTCCTGGGGTAGTCTTGTATTTAATTCCACTACCA